TATGCATATTGTGGGGTTGTCCTGAGTCAGAATCAACTTGATAGCAACTTATAACAAGGAGCAGGTAGGAGAATGGAGGTGTTAGCATTTTGAGCTGACTGATGATTGGTGTATGAGGTTCCTGGGTGGTGTAAATGGCTAAATACTCAGCTATTCATGAAATGGTTGACAGTTTGGATCTACCTCCCCATAGATGTCTCAGAAGAAAAGCCTGGTGATTGGGTAACTTTTTGGAGTGCAGTTCTACTCTGAAACGCAGCCTGGTGATTGGGTAACTTTTTGGAGTGCAGTTCTACTCTGAAACGCACAAGGTCACCATGAGTTGGAATTGACTTGGTGGTAACTTGTTTTAATAACTTCTTGTAGTAATAACTTATTTAATCATTCCAAGTTCAGTTTCCTCAACTGAGTATAATATGAGGGGACTTCAAACAGTTTGTGGAAAAATTTCATTGCCTTTTAATTCCATTTTCCATGAATTTTTGTAAGCCCTTGTACGTGTCTCATGCAAATTAAATGAGAGAAAATGTGGGAAAGAGTTTTGCAATCTTAGCATAAATGTCATTGTACCTGGGCAGGGACAAGTGGTTGTGTACTTGTGCCACTAACAACCACCTGAGGGTCATGGGTTGGTTGTCACAGTACAGAAGGAAGTCTGGAGTGCTAGGGAAAATAAGGGTTACAAAGACTGAAGAACTGGCCACATTGAAGAGTCTCATCTTATGCAAGGGCTAGATTTTAAAATCAGAGTTCAGTACAAGAAGTTTCTTTTTATATACAGCCTTTTTGGCCTTGGATTTGTAGTTCTACCAAGATGATTTGCTAACTCACAGTCTAGCAAAGGGTTTGAACAAACCATTCACTATGCAAATAGGGTGCATAAAACCTTGTGGGGATTGGTTGGTTGCTATGCCAATTAAGTGACTTTTTGTGTACTGAGGGGCTTGATCAGTTTTGACATCCTGCTAGGCTTATAAGGACCATCCTACAGAGATTGGGGAGTCCTGGTATGGTGCTGTGGGTTAATGCACCAAATTACAAAGCCGTTTGAACCACAAGGTGGCAGTTCAAGCTCACCAGCTGCTCCTTGGAGACCTTATACAGGGTCGCTATGGGTCAGAATTGACTTGACAGCACTTAACACAATAAGAAAGAGAACCTGGAGCAGAGTATATCCTTTGGACCCTGGGTCCCTGTGCTGAGAGCCTCCTAGACCCAGAAGACAGAAAGAGTTGTACCACTGGAGATGGCGTGAAACCGTGCAAGACAGCATGAGACAGTGGTAGCAATAAGAGTGGGAGAACCAGGAGATGGGGCGAGATGGCTGCACTGGGCTTCTTGGCAACCCATGGAACTAGAGAGCTCAGTGCCTTTGGGCAGGAGGCTTGCTGGTAGAGTGGGGGGACCACTGGACACTTGTCCAAATAAGCATAGCTGAGAGAAGGGCCTGTTCACCCAGCTAAGAGGAGGCGAGCTGATCACGAAGCACAGGCTGCCTGCAGGATGGCTGAAAAGGAACCGAGAGCTATTTTGCTTGGAAGCTGTTCTGATTGAGAAACGGTATCCTGTCTCCAGAGTTGTAACCTGTTACTTCCCAACTCCGCCACATAATCGTGAGTGTATGGTCTGTGAGTTCTGTGTGGCCATTGAAATAAATTATTGAACCCAGCAGAGAAGTGCTGTGGCCTGACACATTGGAGAGTAAAGATGTGTCTGGCTTCATAGGAGTCAGCTTTATGCTGATCCTGGTGGTCTTGATTCTTAGCCCTTCATTGAAGTTAAGAGGACTTCTGATGCTAGTACCTCACACAGAACATGAGGCTAAAATTAATTACCCTGAAATTCCTTGAACTTGTCCACAGAGCATTACCATTTCTCAACACATCCTATAGAGTCAGTTCCTTCTCCAACACTGGAACAGACTGCCCTTTCTTCATTTAGGCACCAGCTAAAAGACTTGTCCCCAGGGACTGGCCAGCTTAGAATCAGGCAGTGAGAGGTGCGTGGAAATTGAGGCAGATCCACAACTGCCATCAACTTTAGCTCACCTCATGTGCATGCTGGGTGTTAATGCTCAGTTCAACTTGCATTCCTTTAACCCTTACTTATTGATCACCCTCTGTGTAACATACACTGCTAGGCACTGGGGGATAGCAGTGAAAAACAGAGGAAAACTCCCTGCCCTTGCAGAGCTTATGTTTTAGTGAAGGAGGCAGATAAAATAATTTGTTGGTGGCAGTACTGTGGGAGCCAAATAAAGCAAGGAAAGGGTCACCTAAGAGTGGCTAAGTAACACTTGTTAAGGTGTGATTGGAATTAAACCCTGAAGGAGAACAAGGGGTGGAAGTGGGCGGTTTGTTAAGGGAGTCTTTGTAGGCAGAGTGAACAGTCACTGAAAAGGTCCTAAGGCAGCCAGGAGGCCACTGGGCATACAAGGACAATGAGGAGCCCAAAGTGACTGGAGTGGAGTGAAGGAGACATGCATGAGGGAGGATGCTGTCAGATGCAGTAGGGACTGTGGGCCATTGCCATGTCCTTGCCTTCTCTCACGCTGGGTGAGGAAGCTGTGAGTGACTCTTTCTGGTTGAGAATAGCCTAGAGAGGAGAGCAGCAGTGCCATAGCGGAGCCAGTTCAGGCCAGTCCTCCTAGTGAGACAGTGGTGACTTGAAGCAAGGAGAAAACTCTAGACATATCCAAATGAGAGCTACCGTTGCATTTATTCTTGGAAAAGATATGGAATGTGACAAAAAGGGCATGAATTCAAGAGACTCATTCCTTGAAGGGGCTGACTTGCCATCTTGGAGATGGGAAGTCTGTGGGAGAAGCTAGGAATTGGGGTGGCGAGGAGGTCAGGAATTCAGTTTTGGGCACATTGAGGTCCTACCAGATGCTCAAGAGTAGGCAGTTGGATATTTGTAAATCTGTAGCTGAAGGTAGAGGTTCTAGCTGAAGTTTTATATTTGGGAGTTGTCAGAATGTTAATATTGTTGAAGGACTGAGCCCCAGGGCCTTCCCTGAAGAGGTCAGGAGATGCCGAGGAGACTGGTGACTAAGGAGGTGGGAGGGGTTGGGGGAGTGTGGCCACTAGGCCACCGTGAGTTGTAAGGCTGTGAAACTGGTAGAAGAGGCTTGCCCTGTTATTTCTCTTTCTGAGCACTGGTAGTTATTTTTAAGGATGTGAAACACATAAAATGCAATTCCGCTGTGCACCATAGAAACGGACCAATCCAGCAGCTTGTGGGAGCCCAGCAAAGGCAGTTGGAATCATACCTGTTCCACGTGGCCCAGCCCAGAGACCTAGGGTATATTTAGGACTGGCAAGCCTGTTCTCTTTTCTGTAAAATGGAGTGCTATTAGCCTGCATCCGGAGAAACTGTCCTGGAAAATGCTTAGTGTTGGGGCTTCCTTATGATTCTGTGGAGCACTAGGTCTGTGCTGTGGGTCCTATGAAGGTTCCTCTCCACGTAAGGGCCTGGGGTGGGCAGGTAATGCCGCACACACACCCCCTCCCCCGCCAGCTCCATTCAACCTTTGCTTGCCCCACAACTAACCACACCACACTCATCATTCCAAGAAATCTTAATTTCTTTATTGATTTTTTGACTCAACAATTTTTTTTCAAAACTTTTTTTTTTTTTTTCTGAAACGTTCTTGTTATGAGCCTTTTGTTTTGTTCTCATTAAATGCACTCGACCCAAAATTGGTTTGGCATATCGAAAAGGAGACCAAAGAGGGATTGATTGGGGGAGTGGAAGAGGGAAGGAGGCCCGAATGGACAGATTGGAGGATGAGGGGAAAAAGAGGAACACAGACAGTGAGAAAGACACTGGGAAGGCAAGGTGAAGACTCTGAAAAACGAAACCAAAAGGAAAGGAAAAAAAAAAAAAATCCAGAGTAAAACAAGATTTAAGAGCAAATGAATTCTGGAGCCCAAGGAAAGGAGCAGGATAGGAAATCAAGACCCTTCTCTGTACTGTCCCAGCTGGAGTGGGCATCAAGGCACCAGGTCTGGCTGGGGTGGGGGACACCTGGGCTCTTGAGGTGGCTGGGCTACAGTGGTGTCCAGCCCCACCAGGGGACCCTGCCATGCAGCTCTGAGGCCTAGGAATCCTTGGCAGTTCCTACTTGAATGGACACCAAGGGACTCCCTACACCCTTTCCCCCTTGATTGTCCGAGTTTGGAGAGATAAAGGAGGGCTGAACAGGGGAGAGGAAGCAGACTCCTTCCATTCTTTTGAGTGCCTCCCCCTCCTCAGGAATTCACCCACCCCTGCCCTGATCTCCCAGCCCCCTTCAGATTGGGTTCACCTGGGCAAGGCCCTTGTCTCCTATCAGACCCCCTCCCGGCACCCCCCTCAGCATGGAGCTCCTGGTCTAGTAAAGGGGAGGAGAGCCATGAAACCAGCAGTCCTCTTCCCTGTCCAGCCCTCATGGCTCCCCACACCCATGGTCTTCTGGCAAAATGGGTTAAACCCTCCTAGGAAAAGCCAAAGATGGAACCTAACTCTACTTTCCCTCCATACCTATTCCCTTACATTGGACAAACCACCACCATCTTTGGTCTGACCCCTTCCCCCTCAATTGATGGGGACTCGCCAGCCTGAACTCCCGAGGAGGGAGGGAGGGCCTTTCTAGCAGCAAAAAGGGTCCCTCCAGCCGTCTTACTTGTCCCCTTCAATTCCTCCCTCCAGCCCCTCCACCTTAACCCCAAGTTCATGGCAGCAGTGGGCTGAGACCCAGAGATGTCTGAAAACTCATGGCACTTGTGAGAAACGAGGGAGGGGCAAGAGAGACAGGGAGTAGAGGTGGAAGGGCCACCCCTGAAGAAATGGCAATGAAGAGGATGGACTTGTGTGGCAGACTGGGGAGAGGGACTGGGAAGGCCAGAGTAATGGACTAGAGAGAAGTGGACTAAATGATGGGCGAGGTTCTCAGGAGGGACACCAAGCTTCCAGGGTCCAGAGACCCCAGACTCTCACACCTGGCTTTACCTCCCCTGCTGAATTTTACCCACCCCTCTCCACCAAAGACATAGTCTTAACCATTCCCATTCTGCCCTCCTCAGCCAAGCCCGCCACCTGCCTCCCCCACCCACCTACCCACCCCCAGTTCCCTCCTGTCTTCACGCCCCAGTCAACCTCTAGATGGGAATGCAGCCCCAAATCCCAGAGTCCCAGCAGCAATATACAAGCAGGAACTCAAAGGGACAGCACAGCCATCTTGGCAAAAGCATCTTTGGGTGTGACGGAGTCTCCCCCGGGCCAGTGGGGAAGGGAGTAGACAGGCCTCTGGTCCTGGGGCAGGTGGTGAGGTACACGCCCCAGGAGGGCTGACTGATGCCTGATCAGGGGACTGGGAGGAGAGGACAGACACGTGGTGCCGGGAAGGAGACAGGTTCTTTGTTTCGCTGTTGTTTCTAGATTTTGTTTTCTGTCTCTGGGTTGTAAAAAGCTGCACTGGAGGCCCAGCCCGGCCTGCCCTGCCCGGGTGGGATGCGCACGTACACGGCGAAGTCCTGACTGCCGGGTGCTTCGGCTGCCGCGCTGTGCCTGGGAAAGCTGGAGCTGGCCTGGGCCTTGGGCTCCTGGTGGCTTCAAGTGATGAGATTTTTTTTGTCTTTTTTTCCTTTTCCATTTCGTTGAAATATTTACAGCAATGGGGAAGGAGGAGAGAAGGGCGGTAAGAGGGCCCCCTAGGGAACGATCCAAGCCCAGGACCCACTCCCCAGGGAGAGCCAGACCCAAAATCTGCTCCCCAAGATAGCTGAGCCCACAGGACTGGGAACTGCGGAAATATGGCCACCCCTGTGGGCTGGGGGCCCTGCGGGGAGTTGTGCTTCATCAGGAATCACCCCAAGGGAGGGGGTCATTGGGTGCAGTCATGGAGGGCTAGGGGGCAGGCTTGCTGGGGAGGCAGGATGAAGAGCAAGGGAAAGGAGCTTCGAAGAAAGTTCAACCTTTAAACCACCAGCCACAGCCCTGGCCCTGGGCTTCCTTCCTCATGGGCCATAGATAGGCCCCAGTCTCCAGGGGACAGCAAACCCTAGTCAGGAGGAACCTATCATCCTTTCTTCTGCCTCAACTGCTTCCTCCTGGTGGAGCCGCAGCACTTTTGGCAGCAAAGGAGCAACTGACAGGTTCAATCCATCCAGCAGGGAGCCTTGGGCAACCTCAAAAGGCAGCTGTCCCCGGCCACCCAGGGAAGCCAAAGCCATCTTTCCCTCCAAGGAGTAGGAAGTGTGGGGGTGGGGGTCAGAAGTGTGCATCACCTTTCCACTTTCTCCCTCCCCCCCCCCACTTGAGGCTTCTGGGCTCCTCCTCCACTGCACTTACCCCTCAAACAGAGCTGGTGCCTGTGGCTGGTGGGGAAACCCTGTCTGGGACCCTGTACCTGGGGCCCCCACGTCAGGGTCCCCTAGAGGGCGCTGTTGGGCCCCCAGTAGAGGGGTGCCTCTGGAGAGTGGTCCCCCAGCCACTGCCTCCACCAGTCCCCCCTCCCTACCAGAGCCCCGCCCAGGGTTCCTCCTTGACGTTGGGCCACCAGCCCCTGGTCCATGAGGTCCCTCAGAGACTGGTGACCAGCTGCATTTGCCCATCGCCATCGGGCCCTGGCCCCTCAAGGCCTGGGGCTGCCAAGTAGCCCTCGTGGCTAGGTCGCCGCACCTGGTAGTAGCCCTGCAGGGGGTTCCGGGCCACCAGGGCTGGTGGGCGAGAGGTGTAGTAGATTTCTGGGGGACCAGGGGGAGCGGGTGGGGGTGGGGGTAGGGCCTCACTGGGCCCCTCAGGGCTGCTGTCCGGGTAGGAGGGTGAGTCCCGCAAGTTGGCCCCACTGGCATAGAGGGAGTCCCGGCCAGGAGGGGAGGAGAGGGGCCGGCTGGTGGCCCCATCCTCGGCCGTGCAGCTCTCTGATTCGTCCAGATCACTCTGGTACAGCACCGACTGGGCCCGGGGCAGCAGCAGCGGCTCCTCCAGGGCCTTGTAGAGAAGTTCAATCTCAGCCCGGTCAGCACCCCCAGGCCCTCCGGCCTCTTCCTCACTGACACCTCCGGGCACAGGCGGCACCGGGGGCTCGGGTGGGGGGGGACCCTTGGCCACACTGCTGCTTCCCCGCAGGTTGTTGTGGACCAGCTCAGAGATGATCATCTTCTCAAAGGCAGCTGCATCAGCCAGGTTTCGGCCTCGGGGCGGTTCAGGGCCCCCATCCCCTGGGGGGAAATCCCCGCTTCGCAAGGAGTAACTGTTGTTGAAGTTGCCATTCAGGGGAAGGGTATCCATGCCGCAGGCCTCCCGGCCTCCCAAGGGGTGCTCTGTAGGATGGATCCGGGTGGTCAGGAGTGGGGCTTTCTCTGCACTCATCCCTGCTCCCAGACTCTGCTCTCCCGCTCCCTGAACGGCAGTGGAGATGCCAGGTCACTGTCCAGGGACTGGGGACCTGTTGGCCAGGGCACCTTCCCGGTGGGGGCTCAGGCTCTCAGCGGTGGGAGGAGGCTAGGGCGACTGGGTCCAGAGAAGTGGTCGCTGTTCTCTGGACCTCGTCACCTCCACTTCCAAGCTCAAGGACACCAGCCATTTGGCTGCCTCGCCCCAGAGCCTGTGCATTTTCCTGCTCCCTCAGCCTCAGAATCATCAGAAAAGAGCCACTTACTGGGTTCCCGGTAGCTCCCTGCAGGTGCCAGCCAGGAGAGAAAAGAGAGAAGGTGAGAGTGAGCTTAGAATGCAGAGTCCAGGCCCCAGATCCCGCTCTCCCGGTGGTACCATGGCTGACTCCCCAAGGGACTTTTACCTGGGGAGTTGAACACAGGGGGCGAGGAGGGATTGAAGCCCACCGACTCAGCAATGAGGGTGTTGTAGGGGCTGGTGCCACCACGGGGCTGCAGGACAGGATTGGTGAGCAGGTGGTTCCCCATGGTACCTGCTCAAGAGGTCAAAGGTCACAAAGCAGCCCTGAGACATGAAGCCAAGAATCGAGAGGGCCTGGAACTGGGCAGGGGGCTCTTTCTCACCTCGGTTCAGGGTAGGGGTACTGTTGATGTCACCCGCCATGAAGGAGGACTCTGTCTGTTTCCTCACGGTGTCATTCCACATCCTCCGAATTCGGCTCTGGGGACAGAGCCCAGACATGAGGGGTTCCTTAGCGGGACCCTCAGAGACTGGGATAGAGCACCTCTGCCCTTCAGGACTCCTGTTCCCACCCACGCCCTGCCTCCATACCTGGGTCCCTGTATAGTAGCGGGTGTTGCTTCGCATGGCTGAGGTCTTGAGGGAGCCGTGGGTGCCCCCGGGCGGGGAGCGGATGCAGCAGTAGGAGTGACGCAGGCACTTGCTGTACTCCTTGTGCACCTGGGGACGAGGATGGACGTCAGCGAGGGCAAGTGCTGGCCTTCATGGTGACCCAGCCATGCCAGGATGGCGGGTCACCAGAACTGGCTGTCACCTTGTCCTTCCCACCCCAACCAGTCAGTGTCTCATCTCATTCTGGCCCCACCTTTTCTCCACTTCCACTGACAGCTGCTCATTCATCCCTTCATTCGTTGGTTCACCGGGTCTTTGTGCCAGGCACATGGCCCCAGGGTTAGAAAAGAACAAAATCAGCACAAAGACCTCCCTCCCTCTGGGCGCCGACAGTTTAGTGGATGGGCACGCAACATAAATAACATCGCTGGTGCCCCTAGTGCATCTGGTGGTGGTAAATGCTGCAGAGAAAACAATGGCTGAGAAGGTGCTTCAGAGGATGGGCAGGGTGATCTGCAGTTCTGAGCAGATCAAGGCTGGCCTCATTGGGAAGGAGACATTTCAGCCAAGATTGGAAAGAAATACTGAAGTGAGACCTACAGTGCAGATATTGGGGAAAAGCATTTAGGCCAAAGGCAGAGCAAGTGCCAAGCTCAGAGGGGGGAGCACATTGTCTAGTGTGTCCAAGAGAGCAGAGGCCAGCAGGGCTGGGAGGACAGGAGGGGAGCAGAGACTATACTGGGTGGTGCCCATGGGAGGGCTCTGAGCAGAGCAGCAGAGATACGGTCACCTTCATCATGTGAACTCTTGCGAGAGGCATTTCCTTTATGCCCTGCCACAGCCTTCCTCAGCTCCCTACTCCAAGTCCAAGAACCTTTCTCAAAAATCTGACCAGGGGTCCTCATTGCCTTTATTTCCCCACTTCAGCCGAGTGTGGTTTTGTCGTGGAGTCCGTTCTGACTCTTAGCGACCCGTGGGTTAGAACGTAACTGCTCCATAGGGCTTTCCTGGCGGCCATTTTTTCAGAAGCAGTTTGCCAAGCCTTTCTTCCATGGACTTGCTGGTGCTGGTGGTGGGTTTCAAACTGCCGGCTTTTCAGTTAGCAGCCAATTTGCAAACTGTGCCATCTGGGCACCTGTCTGGTGGGAACCACCTAGCTTTTCCTGCTCTCTCCGTATTCTGCTCCTCTTGCTGTTTCCTTCATACAAGGAGCCCTGAGAGCATTGTGGGTTACAAGCTGAAATGCTAACCTCAAAGTCAGTCAGCAGTTCAAAACTACTCTCCACTTTCTATGGGAGAAAGATGAGGTTTACAGCTCCCATAAAGATTTACATAAAGATTACGAAACCCTATGCAGGGTGGCTACGAGTCAGAACTAACTCTACGGTACACAACCACTACCACCCTCAAAACATTATATACATTTAAGCTCAGGGAGTGTAGTAGCTCTGTAGGATATGCACTGGATTGTGAACCACAAGGTCAGTGGTTTGAGCCCACAAGCTGCTCCTCAGGAGGAAGACAAGACTTTCTGCTCCCATAAAGATTTACAGCCTCAGAAACTCTGTACAAGATTGCTATGAATTGGAACCAACTCGACAGCACTCAACAACAAATACATTTAAATTCAGACCTTACCATACAAGAGGGCTTTAAAATGTTCATGGAAAGTTTTCCTTATCTTTTAATCCCAGTTTTTCCACCAACTTTTTAAAGTGCCCTATTTTAAGAGGTTTTAAGACAGAAATCTCATCTCCATGGAGCTTGAAGCTCCTTCCGACTGATCAAGTAGAAAACATACCATCTGGGAGGTGCCTAGCCCCTCCCCTTCCCTCCCCCATGCCACTGTCTCCCACTTTGTAGAAGGGTCGTGCTCTCTCCCTTGTGCCTCCAGGCTCCTGTCTGCCTTTTTGCCTAGAGCCCTCTTCTCCCCCGGCCGAGGCCTCCTTGAGCCCTCACAGTAGTACACAGGTACCACAGGACCGCAGGCTTATCCTCAGGTGCTCATTCACCATTGCCTTCCTCTCCAGAGTGCCTGGGGAAATGTCTCTGAGGGGCTGAGCCAGGGCTGGGCATCTTGGGGAAGGGCCCCAGAGTGCCCACCCTGACCTCACCTTCTTCTGTAAGGCGCAGTGAAAGACAAAAATGAAGACACCCTGGAAGGCGTTGAAGGTGGTGAAGAGATAGGCCATGACCACGGACTCCTTGTTGATGAAGAGCAGCCCGAAAGCCCAGGTGAGACCCAGCAGGAAGAGCAGTGCGATGGCCCCCAGGGCCCAGGACCTGCAGGACAAGGGGTGGGGGCGTCAAAGAAGGGAGCAGCCACGGTATGGGCTCTACTCTGGCCCAGTGCAAGAGGCCAGCCCAGTGACACCTAACTGGCCCTGAGCCTAGGGAGCTGGAGGGAACGGGGCGGGCTGAGGTGGCATTTCTGCTAATGTGAGCCATTCCCCTGCCATCTTCATTTCTGCCCTGTTTCCAGACCACTAAACTACACTGCCCATTCCGCTTTAGGTTAACCTTAAAATGGACTCACCTTTTAATAATGATGTTTACAAAATCACAAGCTTGGAGTGCTCATTTTGTTTTTTCCTAAAACCTGTTAAATCTGTACTTAAAATCAGAATACAGACCACCAAAGGTGCATTTTAGGGTCTCTGGGAGTAGCCCAGCCCCACATGGTGGGGTGAGTCCCGGAGGAGGCACAGGGCTGGGTGTGTCGGGGTGTGTGTACACTCACTTGATGTTGTCCAGGCGGCTCGAGTCAGGCTTGAGCACAGAAGAGCTTCGGACCATCTTGTGCAGGGTCACCATGAGGAACACCAGGTTGACCTGGGGTGGGAGAAGGCCAGGAGGCTGGGCAGGAATACCGTCTACTGCCCTTGGCGAAGCAAGTGTTTGGGCTACAGCTACTGGATTACTTCCTAGAGAACACTGTACCCCACACTGAGGCACGCATCCTGTGCAACTCTGTGGGGACAAGGACCAGTCCCACCTTCCATAGACCCAACTGGTTTTCATTCTCTGAGCTCACTGCTTAGCTCCAATGGTGTTTTGAAACCAGTCCCTCGTGGGACTCGATGAATGGGAGGAATGGGGACCAAGCCTGAACAAAAGGAAGGAGATGCAACACGGGGTGATGGTGGTGGTAGTGGTTATGTGCCATGGAGTCAGTTCCAACTCATAGTGACCCTGTACAGAGTTTCTGAGGCTATCAATCTTTACGGGAGCAGAAAGCCTCATCTTTCTCCCATGTAATAACTGGTAGTTTCGAACTTCTGACCTTGCTGTTCACAGCCTGATTCATAACCACTATGCTACCAGAACTCCTTGCAACACGGGGTGGGATGGGGTGGGGGGCATCGCCAACTTACCACAATTACAAAGGAGACAGGCCCAATGAAGCTCCAGATGAAATAATTGTCCACGCGGAGCCAACAGCTGTAAAGGAAATGGGGCCAGGTAGAGAGGAGCAGAGGTCCTTCCCCTTGCTGGGAAGCTGCCAACTTGGGGCCTGGCAAGGGGGTTGCTGAGTAGGGAGCCAGGCAGGACGGGCAACTCAAGGGAGGGAAGGGGCGAGGGAGTGAGCAGGAGACACTCACGCCTTCTCTGTGCCATAGCTGCGGTAGTCGATGGCGGCAGCAATGCCCACCACCAGGGCCGGGAAGCAGTAGCCGCCCAGGTAGTAGTATTTGGTGCGGGAATACTCGCTCTCAAAGACCTCCACCAGCAGCAGATAGAGGTGCACACCCTCCAAACACAGCCAGGAGAAGGCCGCCAGGAAAAAGTAGTGTAACAAGCCAGCGAAGATAGGGCAGGCGATCTGGAGATGGAGTACCAACCACAGGTGAGGGGGAACCCCCCAAAGGCCTCCGTCTTCCCCCTCCACCCAGTGGTGGCCTCTCCCTGTCCCCCGAGTGCCCGCCTACCTCATACTGAGTCTTGTCTATCCCGACCAGGAAGAGAAGCTCTGCCAGGAAGAGGTTGATACACAGGTTCTTGTGGATGGTGTTTCGGTCTGTCTGCAGCCCCCGCAGGAAGCAGAAGGTGGAGATGCAGATGGCCAGGCACACCAGAGAGATCACGATGCCCACCCAGGTGATGACCGACAGCAGGAGCTCATTGATGCGGCCCTGATACTGGGGGGAGCAGCGGGTGAACTCAGGGCCTTGGGCTTGCATGTGGCCCTCCCAAACCCCCTTGGCTGCTGAGCCCCCTTCCTCCTGTTCTGGGAGGCCTGGGGAGAGATGACTATGGGGACACCCACTTCTCCTCTCCAGAGAGACCTGGGGAAGGCCCCTGCACCCTCCCTGTGCTGTCCATGCCAACCCAGGTCAGCGACAGGGGCTTACGATCTCACGGTGAGCCATGAGCACAGCGAAGTTGGTAAGGTGGCTACAAGCACACGTGGTGTGTGTCTTGTTGGACTCCACCAGGCGGCAGCCCTGGGTCGACCAGTAGCCCAGCATGGAACGCTCAGAGTAGTTCCAGAAGGAGCAGTTGGCATTGAAGTGGTTCTTGGCCTGTTGTGCAGTGTGGCCGGAGGTCAGAATCAAGGCATCCTGTCTGGCCCCCACACCCAACAACAAGTATGGTGACAAGCCTGGGATCTCTGGGGACAAACTGCTCAAGCTGGTGCCAGGCAGATGGCACACAGGACAGGGCTGTATCTGAGCTACACACCGGCCCTGGGGTGGGTGAAGTCTGGGGCAAAACCAGTAGGATGCTGGGACCCCCATGCGAGGTGGGACACCCCGGCTCACCTCCAGGTGCGCTACGGTAAAGATGACGGGGTCCATGAGGAAGACGCGGCTAGATTCCTTGTTGATGGACGCAGCGATCACCTGCGAGTTCACCACCAGGGAGGCGCCCCCTGGACCCCCTGGGCCCACTTCTCCCGCCAGCTTCACCGTGGCATTCTCCGTGGACAGGAAGAGGCCCAGATTGTTGTAGAGGATGAAAACAACTTTGACCACCCCTGGGAAGGACCGGTGCACCAGTCAGTTAGAAACACACCTCCACCCCGGTCCTCCTGTGGCTGCCAGTTCCTCCGCCCACAAGACTGCTGCCCAGGTGTAGGCAGTTCACATGGCAGGATAGTGAGCCCTCAAGCCACCCTTACATGCTGTGTGGCCTTGAGGCACATGGCTAACCTCTCTGAATCTCAGTCTCAAATGGACCCACTGTGCCGCTCACTTGGGAGGGTCTCGGGGATCTGCAGATGCTCTGGTGTGCCCACTAGCTGTGGAGGAGCCTTGAACTTTCTGAGGGATTCTTCACCCCAATTAAAGTTTACCACTGCTCTGCAGACACAGGCCCCCGGGGGCACTGACCGTTGCGGCTGTTCTGTTTAATGGTCTTGGCTGACAGCTGGATAGAGTTCTCGCTGGGGTACTCCTGGGGGAACACCAGTTCCTGCACCTGGCCCTCTGTGCTCAGAACCGTGACCTCCAAAACTGTGGGGACAGGGAATGGCAGGGCTAGGGGTCGAGAGGCCCACGGCCACGGAGCAGGGTGACAATGTCTAGGGCCGAGGGTCAGGTGATGAGGCACTTACCCACGTTTTGCTTGGCAGCCAGGAAGCGGGCGGGCTCCCGGACGTTGTCGGCCAGCAGGAAGGCGCCCTCCTCTAGGACATCCAGGAGCATGGTGGCTGTGTGCACCTGCTCTGTGGCATTCATGTCCTTCCAGGACTCGAGAGCCTCCGGCCTCAACAAGTTGTCCACTGTCTCCACCACAGCCTGCACACAGTTGGTGGGGGTGCACTGCCGTGAGCCCCTACCGCGCCGTTCCTCAGGGGCACAGTGGGAAGGGCAGCTCTGTCCCCTTCTCTCAACCTCCTGCCTGGGCCAGCTCCCCCTTCCAAAGCCATCTACTCCAAGGGTCATACCTTGATGTAATCCTTGCAGGTTCTCTCTCGCTTATGCATCTGGGGGGCAAAATGGGGGTGGCATCAGGCCCAGTTTCCGCTTCCCTAATCCCAACCCTCATATCTGAGGCCTGACAGTTCCAGTGTCACCGGGCCTGGGCCGTCAACGAGAGAGTCCCAATGGTCCCAGTACCACCCGAGGCAGCACAGGCGCGAAACACGGCCAGGCCATTCTGTCCTCCCTGAGAACCGGGCAGGCAGCAAGCCGGATACTATCTGAACGCTGTGGGCAGGTGCCCATCCCAGGGTCCCACTGCCAGGCCCACCTTGTTGTAGTTCTTGCCAGCTGACTCGCGCTCGATGGGCCGCAAGGCCTGCAGCTGGGCATCCAGGATGTCCAACAACTGCTCCATCAGCTTCACAGAGGAGGAGACGTCACCGGCATAGATGGAGCCCCGGGTGTGGCGGGCCAGCTCGCTGGCAATGTTGGCTGCATTCTCCCCACTCTTTATCTGCATGATATGGGGGGTGGGCACCAGCTCTAACAGGGACCGCACCCTGTTCTCCCCCATACCCATACCCACATCCATTCTCAGCACCTTCTTCCCTCCCCAGATGGCCCTACTCCCTCTACAGGCCATGGAGAAGACCCAACTGCCCCATCTTCCAGATTCAGGCCCTGTTTTCTCCCCAGGGGCTCCGCTACCCCTGCCGTGTCCAGGCCCAGTGCTAGAGCAAATGTATGTGTCTGGGGTGGGGTGGGGACTGCTGATGGTACCTTCTGGGCTACCTGGTTGACCCAGGGGGAGGTACAGTTGCTGAGGTCAGGGCCCCGGGGGTTCCAGAGCCCCAGGGCTGGTAGACACTGGAAGGAGGCAATTCCTGCAGGGACACACAGACAAGAGACAGGAGCCCAGACAGAGGGATGGGTGGGTGAGGACAGAGGTGAAGGGAACAGAGGAGGACAGTCAGTCAACAGCGGCAGCACTTTTGTTGACATAGCTACTGCTTGTTTCCCGTTGTCTGTTTTCCCCTTTCACCTGCCAGCATGACAGACCTCCAACAAAGTCCTCCCCAAAGTGTCTTCTGGTGACTGCCCATCCCTGACGCCCTGAGTACATGGCCCATTCCCCCCTCCTGGGGCTCTGCCACCTCTCAGCCTAGGCAGCCGCTCCACAGGCATTTAGGGGAGCCGCTACTGAGCTAGCCCAGCGCTCTGCTGGTCATGAGGACACACTGTCCTCCGAGAGCTCACCTCCTGAGGGAATCAACAAGTTAAGTGAATTTCCATTAAGCTCAACAGCGGGCACAGTCCCCAAGCTGGTCACAGTGGACATGAATGTGGTCTCTGAGTCCCACTTACCTCGTGTCCCCTTAGGGCAGGGCCTCTCCACCAACATTCCCTGCTGGGTGGCTGGCCACTGGACCCTCCGCACCTCTCGGGGTTCACAGAAGAGCTCAGGGGACACATGCAGATTGGGGGCCAGGGGCCGCCGGGTGCTGGGAGCCGGGGCTGTGGCGGGAGGCAAGTCAGGTCCCAGCTGGTTGATGGCACCCACAGGGTGCGTGGTGAGGGGTGCTCGGCGGAGCGGGGTGGTGGCTGCAGGTGAGGCTGTGCTGGTGAGTGGACTGGGCCGGGCTGTGGTGGTTGTGCTGAGGGGTGGAGAAGTGGCTGGGCCTGAAAGGGAGAAGGGATAAGAAATAGGGTCACCCACATGCACAGCACAGCACAGCACATCACATGTTCCAGGCATGGGGTTCTTGGCTCCATCTCCATAGCTTAATCCAGGAAGAGGGCAGGAGGTCCCCTACACACAAGGGACCATTTAAGGTATAGAGAGACACCACGAACACTTCGAAGTCTGACAGAATGGTCCAGGGAGGACAGTTAGGAAGGAGGTGTCTGAGGCTCGCTCAATCTGGTTACCTCCCACCCTAGTTCTTGCTCCGACTTTGGTCTCTGTCACCCTGACCATGTCCCTTTATGTGTGGGACCTCACTTCCATCTTTTACAAATGAGGCTGAGACTGGGTTAGTTGTCTTTCCAGCTGTGCCATGGAGCCCTGGACTGCTCAGCACCAGATTTGGCTCCAGGCAGCTGAGGGAGCGTCGTAGGACTGTGGAGGGCCCCTCTAATGTGTCAACACCAACAGGGCTGGGTTTTGATCTATTTTACAGACAGTAGGTTCCGATTCAAGGGTCTGGCCCAATGAAGGTCCTTTGAAAAGAATAAAAAACTTTGCTTGAGCTCTGGGGAAAGGCAGTTGTGGTTCAGTGGTTAGGAACTCAAGAGTCCTGGGTTCAAATCCTGACTCAGGTGAGTTAATTCCCTATCCTTTGTGGGCCTCAATCTCCTCATCTGTAACATGGGGACAGTGACCATTCCTGTCTCCTTGGGTCACTGTGAGGATTAGATGAGTTAACTGTACAAGTGCTCACATGAGGTGGCTTTCTCCTACCCCCAGGACCCCACTAAGCCCATCTCTAGAGCTCTCAGGATGCTTCCCACCCTGGACCCCAAGCAGGGGGTGTGGCAGGCTGCTGGCCTGGATGTGAGCTGTCCTCCTCACCAGCACTGGGGTCAGGTGGCCCAAACTCCAGGCTATAGCGCACCACAAAATAGTTGTTCCAGACGTAGAGCTGGTTGTCGCGGGGGTTGTAGTCAACAGAGGAGACAAACTGGTAGGGGTTGGGGAAGGCAAGGCTGACGGGTTCCTCGCGGTTGGCGTTGGTGTTGAAAGCGTAGTCCACGCGGTTGCCGGCTGCCTCACTGTCATCATCGACATACACAGAGCGCAGCACGTAAAGGACGCCACACACCATGAAGGCGTTGGATGCCGAGCGTTTGTCGTAGCCCGTCTCCCAGGTGCCCTCGAAGCGCAGCGTGTAGGGGTTGAGTTGGCTCACTACCAGTCGCCCATTGTTGCCCTCGGTGGCGTAGATGACCCACAGCCCGTTCTCATCCACTGCCAGGTCGATGTCAGTCTTGCCACCCCAGCGGTAGGGCGAGGTGTCGTGGTAGTTGGCCGTGTTGATGACCGTCTCCCCACTCTTGATGCGCGTCCGGAGATCGTACTTGACGATATTGCGCGTGCGCTCCTTGTTATAGAACACGGCACCATCGTAGACTACGAAGCCCGTGCCATCTACACGATTGGGCAGGCGGTAGGTGGTGGTGTGGCGGGCGGCCACATAGTCCTCCCACGAGGCGTACTCAGTCAGTGTGTCCGTTCGGTAGGGGATCCAAGGCATCACGTAGATGCGGTCCCCAGCCTGCAGCGGGTCCTTGCACCAGGCGCCGGACTGATGTTCTGACTCGTGCGTCGAAGTGGGTTCCAGCACCTTCTGCAGGGTCCCTGGGCACACGAAGACTGGGCCGGGCAGATAGGTGGGGAGGAGAGAGGAGCAGGGATGAGGGAAAGAGAGAGGAGAAAGGCAAGTTGGTCACCGCTGCCAGCGGACCGGGCTCTCCCCTCCTGCAGCTGCAGTCACGGTTGCTTGGTAGGGCTGGTGATGGGGAGGGGGTTCTGGGCTGGGAGCCCCCCCCCCGCCCCGCCCAGCTGCCCCTTCAGATGTCAACCCTGGAGGTCATTAAGAACAGGGTTAGTATGTGTTGGGGGAGGAGGTGCCCCTCTTTTTCCTTTCTGGCTGCTAGAGACCCCACAGGCTGGGAAGAAGGGGTTTGGCAAGGCCCTTCCAGAGACATCATGTGACTTAGATGGGTGCTGGAGTGTCGCCCAGATGTGTCCTTCCAGGGACTCAGTGCCTGTCCCCACCCCTCCCCAGAGCTGCGGTCAAGGGTCCCGCCTTCACCAACCACATCAAGATAGAGTATTTTTTAATTCCACTTTCTTCCTCCTGCAAAAATTGCAAGGTAGAGTAACATTTCTGTACCCACTGTGGGTGTCAGAGCGCCCCATTCCAGGATGGTGGAGGCATGGGGTGCGAACTCTTCCAAGGGACACGAAGCAGCCCGTGTCCCTCCCCCCACCACCAATACCCACTCAGTCAATAGCAGAGAAGGGTTTCCTGAGGCCGGTCCCAGGCCAGGCCTCCCAAGGTCCCAGCCCTGCCCCAGCCGGCAGGGTCTCTCATGGGCTCTGCTCAGCAAGACACTGACACTTGTGTGCATGGGGGGGGGTAGGGGTGGGGGGACATGAAAGGGAGGGGCTCCCGGGATGGGGGCAGGGAGGAGGAGAGCTGCAGGGCGTGGAGAGATGGGGAAGGCGGCGAGGTCCTGGCTCCGTGTGCTGGAGACCACCTGGGAAGAAAGGGTTAGTGCTGGCGGAGGAGAGAGGGGTGAGCAGAGAATTCACTCCAAGGCCCAGGCCAGACTCAGGGTCCCTCGGGGGCGTTCCCAGGTCCAGCTCGGAGGGGGCAAGGGAGGGAACCAGGTGCTAGGATAAAGACCCAGCCCGCCCCAGCCAGGCCCCCCACCTCCCCTGCCCCGGACCCCGATTTACCTGCGACCATCCCCGGCACGGGAGGAGGGATCAAGGCAGCGCTGATGTCAGAAAGGTGGGGGGCCCCGCCCCACCCCCCCATTCCCTGAAAAGGAGGAAAACCTCAACTGCATCTCGTTGGCCGCCGCTGGCCTGCCCACCCTGCCCGACACATCCCAGCACCACCTGCTCCTAGCCTCCCTGCAATGGTGATGTGGCTGGCCTCCCTCCCCCCTGCTAGCAGAGCCCACCGACAGGCCAGTGCAAGGGCTGGGGGGCTGCAGTGAATTCTCTGCTCCTGCTTGGTCTGTCACCAAAGCAGCTGGCCCAGGGGCCGGGGACAGGGGACCAGGTTACTGGCCTGGGGGCCACCCTAGTGGCCACAGCAGCTTGACAGTAGCCACAGCTCTTTCCCACTTCAGGCTTGGGGGGCATCCAGCCCTTCCACAGCCTTGTGGAGAGCCAGCAAGGGGTCCCCAGGAACCAAGCAGCCAGGAGCATGCCAGTCAGCAGGGGAAGGGATGTCTGTCCCTAGGACCTTCACTGCCTGCCCCATGGATCTGGAGGGCCTTGGACCCTGCCACCTCCCTGGCCCAGCTGCCCTCTGGGCCAGCCTGCACACTCTGCCCCCCACTTCTGTGCCTGTCTCCCCTCTCCCCAGGACCCCCTCCAGGTCCATGGAGTCTGAGTTGTGTGTGTGAGGGGGCTGGTGGGAGGTCTCAGAGCCTGACCTGGTGAAGGGTTTTGGGGAGGAAAAACGTGGTTAGAGGTTACAGGGTAAGAGGGAGTGGATGAGGAAGGGTCTGCCTGGGGCCTCTTCCCAGCACCAAGGTCCCAACCCCTCCTCTTCCCTCCCTTGCCCATCCCCTCGAAGAAAAAAAAGAGTCCAGGGCTGCGCGTCCACACCGGGCCTGCAAGAAGAGTGTCTGTCTGGTGCTGGGTGGGAGAGAGACTTCAGGAGCGAGCGGGAGGGGTGCCTCTGCGGGGGGGATGGGAAGGGGAGCAGCTCAGAGGGACCACGTCCCACCCCCCTTCACAGGGGATGCTCCACAGACCGTAATTTCAATGCACAAAGTTTTCTGAGCCCTGCCCCCCATGGGCAGGCCCCTGCTTTATCAATTTCCCCAGGCTTCCTAAGGAGGAAATGACTTTCCCCAACATTTCCCCCACCCCTCTTCAAAAGGCAAGATATTGCGGTCTTTGTGGAAGTCCCCAGACCTGCCTCTGGCACCCCCCAGGGGCCTCTCCCTTCCTGTAACCACAACAGCCCGAAAGAAACCCTGACTGCAGCTTCGCAAGTGTGAAAGAGACAAGAGCCCCACCTCGAGGCCACCCCCAGCCCTCGGCCTCCCCTTTTGGCACACTGCCCTCCCCAGGCTGGGAAGAGGAGCTTGAGACCCCTCCCAGGATTGGACCCCAGCTGGCGGGAACAGGGGTCGGGGTGGGCTGGTGCTCCGTGCTCCATAACAGCTCTGGGCCTTGGAAACGCCAAACCAGAAGGAACTTAAGAAGCCACTAGGAGCCCAAGGAGAAATCTGCTCCCCAAAAGGAAAACAAAGGTGTCCCCGCCACCCTGCCTCCCTCAAACCGAAACACAAAAGCGGGGAGGAGGAAGAGGAGAGAGTCGGCTCCCTCAGAGCCCCAGCCAGGAGCTGGGATGGGGTCCCTCCCCACACCCACCCTGGATGCTTACACACTTCTCCTGAAGGAGGCAAAAGAAGTATGAGAGAAAGCCAGGTCCCCAGCAAGGGCTGAGGACCAGGGAGAGACAGAGAGGCAGAGAGAAAGAGAGAGAAAGTCCTGCCCGCGCTCAGAGAGGAGCTTCCGCGGGTGTCTGCAGGGTAGAGACGCCCCGTGGCCGCACCAGGGCTGGCCCCACCGGGAGGACACCCGGGGTGGGGTCACCAACTGGCTGGGTGGGAGGGGAGGGGCGGGGTCACATTAAGTAGGGGCATAGGTAGAACAAAGTGTGAGTTAGGGGTTAGCATTGGTTAACAGTGCTTTTACCTTTCTGCTCCACTTCTACTTTAAGCATCGGAAGAGAGAGAGAAAACAAAGTGAAAAAAAATGTGCAAGAAAAAAAGAGAAAAAAAAAAAAGATTAAATTGCTTGTTTCTTTTCTGGCAACACGCCCCCTTTTCTTTTCCTTCCTCACTCCTGCTTCCCCAACCCCATAGTAGCATCAGTTCAGCCCCCACCCCCAAGTCCCTTCCTTGGGGTGGGGGCAAGGGAGTGTTGGGGAGACGTCACAGAGAAGGGAAGACATACAAGAGGACAGAGAGACACAGAGGTGGGGGGAGGGCAGAACAGGTGGACCCTCTGTGCAGACAGGTGAGCAGAGGGGCAGGGGAGCCCCAGCTGGGAGGTTGGCTCTGGTTAGGGGGGCAACAGGGAGGGAGTGAGGTGGAGGAGCCACTCTGATCCCCTCCCACCTGCCCAGGCCCTTCTGCTAGAACAGGGGCCAGGGGCCGGGGGCTGAGGGAATTCAGTGCCCAGAGGGCAGACTGAACTCATCCTCTGGGCTGGCCATGTCCAAGTCCAGCTGAGTTTCCCAGGCCCTGACCACCCAGAGAGTGCAAACATGGGAGGTGGCAGAGTCAGACACAGTGACAGGGAGGCAGACAGGCAGTGCACCCTGGCCTCAGAGCGAGCCAGGGCAGGGAGACGGAGGCCAAGAGGTGAGAGGCAGGGGAGGACACAGACGGGGCCAGACAGCCCGCAGTGAGCGGGCACAGACACCCCTGCTCACGGGCAGCCCGCAGCTGAGTTTCTCCACCAGCCCCCTTGAGCCCAGGAGCTGGGAGCTCTGCGCCTGCCCGCACCTGGGGGAGGAAGGGGCATGTTAGGCTGTGCTCAGCTGCAAGGCAAATCCAGTGTTAGTCGGGCATATCCAGGGGGGTCCCACACACCTACTTACACTTCCCCATGATAGCCTCACCAGCACTGGGGTCACCCTCAGGGTAGGGGAACCAGTCTCTGAAGCCCAGGGTGACATGGCTGCCAGCCACTCCCACAAGGCTCTGGTTCCCTGATCCCTCCTCTCTCTGGGTGGTCCTGCCCAGGGCCCTCTAGGAACCCTGGCCATCTCTCTGGAAACCTCAGGCTCAGCAGGGAGTTTGCAAGGGCAGCATTGGCCCCAGCACCTCATCCAGGCCTGGCACACAGGAGGTGCTCAGCAAACATTCGAGGAACAAGTTAGCAGGTATCTCCCTTGCATTGCCCCTTTTCCCAGCCCACCTGCAGCCCTGACCCACACACATCCACCATGTGTGTTCACATGTATCCCTCCTGTTTCACTGAGGGCTCAGGCCAGCTCTTTGCTGTCAGACTAGGAGCTGGCTCTTCCTTGGGAGATCCTACCCTCTGGCCTGGGCCATCCTAGACACTGGGGCGCCATACTCAGGGGCTAGACTCCAGGAGGTCTCTCTGCTCCCTCGTTCTCCAGGCCGCCAGGCTTTGTCCTGCCTCTTTACCGGCTTGGAGTCTACTGGAGATAGGACTCTCTTTGTACCAAGGATTTTTCCTGTCCTTTATCATGCCTGCCTCAACAGAAACTAGGCTACTCATCTGCTATTTTCCTTTTGATTATTAATAGCAATAGTAGTTGTTAAGAATCATAGTGATCAGTCACAACAAAAGCAACAACTACCAAGTATACAGAACATCTGATTAAGTGCCGAAAACTGCCGCCACTGCCTTGTTTAGATGGGAAAACTGAGGTGCAGGAAGGTGAAAATGGCTGAGGACACTTGGCTAGAAAAAAGTAGCGTTGTTTCCTTCACACCTATTGCTGGGGTCGCCCACGAGGTGCTTTACCCATATAGGAGGGTCTCAAGAAGTGCGTGGAAAATGACAAGATAACGGGATTTTTCTGTGTGCTGTTTGAAAACCCCTCGTATCTCTACTCCTCACAGTCTCCTAGGGAAGACTTGACTCCCCACTACGAACGAGGAAACAAGTTCAGTCAGTTGGACCAAACACTAGAACATTACTAGCACATCGTGAACCAGGCAGGCTCAGGGCTGGGAGCTGGGAGCTGGGAGCTGGGAGGGACATGCTGGAGTCTACATCCAGTACTCATCACTTAAGGTCTTGGTCTCCAGTCCCGAGGCAAGTGCTTGACATATGTGATGTCACGGGCAACCCAGAGAAATTAATTCAACGGCTCAAGATTTCAGCACCAGAAGTCTCAAGAGCCAAGCCTTGAACCTAGGCCTGCCTGGCTTCCCTGCTGTACTAACATGCTTGCTGTCTCCCGCCCCCGTCCCTGCTGTCCCCAGCCACAGGGTAGGCAAGTGTCCCCAGTGCTGTGGGGAGGCTTCAAGGAGCAGATGGGCGTCCCCCTCGGCTGGTGGCTGGAGGCCTCAGTTGCTGAAAGGAAAGGGCAAGGAATAAAAGAAGAAAGTCACACAAGAACATATGTGATCCTGTTTTCCCCAGCGAGTCACCTGCAAGGAGAAATCAAAGGTTGGGGGGAAGGCTGGGGCGGGAGGGAGAGGAGGGAGAGTTACAGGGCTTCCTGCTCCCCCTGTCACCCATACTCAGACACCCTACTTGTCATGCCTCCTCTCCCTCTCCCCTCCACCCCAAGGCCCTACCTCCAAGGTTGGCTACGTGAAGCTGGGAGAGGAAGGGGTGATGGGAGCGAAGGAGGGAAGAGAGAAGGCTGGAAGGAAGGGTGATGTTCAGGGCAGAGTGCTGAGGAGGAAAGACCTTGTCTTTGTCTACTCCCCTTGGCCAGGTATAAGACAGCCAGGCTCCTGGCTCCCCAGATCACCTTTCTCAGGCTTCCTGGGGACCACTCACAGTCCAACATGGCAGCACTTCCTTTGCAGACAGGAAGTGCTATCATGGTCACGGAGAAAACCAACCAGGAGTCATGAATGTGCTGAAGATGCCCCCAGCCCTTCACACAGGATCTGCAAACAGACCTCAGAGGGTGGCCTGTATTGGTAGAACTGGGTAAAGGTCAACTTCAGGGCCTAGGAGTGTTTTTCAGTAGGAAAGAGTGGCGGGTCAGAGTTGGGGTGTGAGGGCTGGGGAGAAGGAGGTGAGTGAGAAAGAAGAGAGAGTAGGTGTGTGAGTTGGGCCAGGAAGGAAAGGGCGTGAGAAGAGGAGGGAGGCAGGAACAGTTCAAGTTCAAGGGAGATGTAGCGTACAAAGCAGAATACCGAGTGTGACTGACCGAGGGGCATGTGAACAAGACTTTGAAAAGGTGCCAGTGAAGGGGACGGCAGTGTCTGTGAAGAGGGGGCACCGAGCGAGTGTGGGGGAGGGAGCAGGCCTGGCTGTCCCCTAAGTGCCCGGTGCACGTGCCAGACCAAGGTGTCTCCTCGCTCACTTGCTTGGGGAGAGGGCCCACAGCACACAAAGTACAAGATGACTCACTGTAAGGAACACAGTCGTACTGCACCTCCAGATACTTGTAGGTCCCTGGACAGGGGTCAGGAAAGGCGTCAGAGCCGGCGACCACTACACACTGGGTGCGGTTGTTACACCTACGGAGGAGAGACAGAGCATTAGAAACAGAACTTAGAACTGGGGAGATAGCTAGCGCCTTGCTTTCCCAGCCTGTAGGGTCAGGGTAGGACTAGCCAAACCAGTTGCCATAAACTCAGTTGTGACTCCATGTGTTTTAGAGCAGAACTGTGATCCGTTGGGTCTTCCAGAGCTGTGATCTTTCAGCAGTAGATCACCAGGCCTTTCTTCGACGGCACCTCTGGGTGGACTTGAACCACCAACCTTTTGGTTAGTAGTCAAGTCCTTAATCAATTGTGCCAGCCAGGGACTAGTCTCAGGAGAGGAATGTACATCGCCAAATTGGGAAGGGGTGGTGGGGCTGGTGAACCACAGCAGAGACTTTGCGTGGCTGCGGTTCCCATTTCCTGCCTGTTTTTCCTTTCTTACTAGGGAGGGCTCTTCTCTTTCCAGGCCTATCACAGCATCAAACACAGGGTACCAGAGGATGTGCACTACAAACTAGCTGCCCTTCACCTCACGAGTGTTACCTTGATATTTTTCTGTAACTTGGCTTTTAAGCCCTTTCATTGTTGACTGAATTAGTACACGTGAGGTAGTATCTTTCTTTAGAATGGACAAAATGTGCAATTTCTACTTCAGAGCATCTTATGGCCAAGTCTGGCCCATGAAGCACTCTTGGAGCAATGCTTTTTCATGGGCCAGGCTTGGCCACAAGATGCTCGGACAACCAGAGTGGAAAGGAGAGGGATTGAGCCCTCACTCTGTGGAAAACCCATTCTTGATTCCCCAAAGGGAACTCCTGAGTCCCTGCCAACTTCTCAAGAGTCTAGTTAATATGGAAAGAAAGATCTATTCGACAAAAGCCAACATCAACAAAGGCATCTGCTTTCTCACAGCCAGGGTCTTCATTCTCAGAGTGGGGAGGCCTAGTCCAGAAAGGACTGCCACCTGGCCGTGTGTGAGGCTTCAAGACAAGTCCAGGCTGAGTGGGCTGTGTTTCTTCCCAATGTTCAACACTGAGGCAGAAATGCAGGGAGAGGCAGATAAAGATGGATGTTATGCGTGTGTTGTGGGAAGGGGCTTGGTGGTGGTGTCAAGTCGGTTCTGACTCATAGTGACCCAGTATAGGGTTTCCAAGGAGCAGCTGGTGAGTTTGAACCTCCGACCTTGTGGTTCAGACACACCTATACCTACCCTTGCCACCTCCCTTTCTTAAAACTAGAACATCTGTCTCAAAAAGTTAAAGAGTTTCCATGTTGTAGTTCCCAAGTACTGTCGAGTAGGTTCCGACTCACAGCGACCCTGTCTAGGGTTTCCAAGGAGCGACTGGTAGGTTTGAACTACCAATCTTGCAGTTCAAAGCAACCTTGCAGTCCAGTGCATTATCCCGCAGCACCACACCAGGACTCCAGATAACCCAGCAATTCCACCCCCAGGTCAAACGTGAAAGTAGCAAATCAAACAGATATTATTTCCCAGTGTTCATGGCACCGTTACAATAATCAAAAGGTGGGGATAGTCCTAATGTCAATGTTGTTATGATGTGCCATCGAGTCAGTTCCAACTCATTCACCCTACATACAGGGCTTCCCAGGAGTGGCTGGTGGATTTGAACTGCCAGCCTTGCAGTTAGTAAACAGTTCAGTGCTTATCCTACGGTGCCACACAAGGACCCCAGTGTCATCAGCAGATGATGGATAAACACCATGTGATCTATCCAGACAGCAGAATACTATTTGGCCATAAGAAAGAACGGCGTTCTGACACCTGCCACAACATGGGTTGTTGTTGTTGTTAAGTGCCGTCGAGTCAGTTTAGATCCATAGCCACCCTGTACAGGGTTTCCGAGGATGTAAATCTTTATGGGAGCAGAAAGCCTTATCTTTCTCCCGTGGAGCGGCTGGTAGTTTCGAACTGCTGACCTTAAGGTTTGCAGCCCCATTCGTAACCACTATGCTACCAGAGTAAACCCTGAAAATATTACATCCAGCCAAAGAGCCCGACACATAACGCCACACAATGTAAATCCCGTTGCTGTGAAAAGTCCAGAATCCACAGAGGCAGAAAGCAGATTAAAGGTGGTTGAGTTGGCGGAGAGGAATAGGTAATGACAGCTTCGTGGGTCTAGGGTTTCTCATTAGGGTGGCGGCACAATGTGGTGAATGTCCTAATCCCAAAGAATCATTCCCTATCAAATGGTGGATTTATGTTATTACGTGAACGTCACGTCAATAAACAAAACCACCGAACGCCAGCCTCAGCAGAGACGCCCTGTCCCAGCGCTGCACAGCTGGAAGAGCAGCCTGTGATGGAGTGACCTGGGAGATGTGAAGGTAGTGAGGGCGAGGTGCTGGCGTCTGGCCTCATTCTGATCACTCTGCTGACTTTGGGGTACCTTTCCACGGCTGGATGAGATCTGTGGCTTGTGCCCCTGGCTAAGCCACAGTCACCTGACTGTTCAGATGCAGTGTGAGGGGCAGGGCGAATGAGCAGAGGCCAGGAGGCTGGACTAGGGGTACCAGGAGACAGCAGGTGGAGATGAAGGAAGACTTGTGGGGGATGGGTGCTTCACAGAGTATGGGAGGTGGCCAAGGGAGGCACCCAAAGTTGGTTGTACCTAGCCCACTTGTCCGAGTTACCTGACCATGCCTATCACCTGCCCATAAGTCATGGTGACCCCATGACACATTCTGGACTCCTCCACCAGCAGGCAGCCTGGGTCCCAGCCATGAGGGGAACCTAGCTCTTTCAGGCATTTGGTGTAAATACTGTGAGTGCCAATTGTCCGCCTGGCTGTGCTCTGGGCACTGTGGCCCCAGTAAGGATGGACAAAACTCCACTGAGGGCAGAGAGAATCCACACACACCCTGTATCAGATGGACAGACTGACAGAATTAAGGGCTAATGAGAGAGTAAATCAGGAAAGGGGCCGAGAGGTAGGAGGCAGTCCAGGAGCCCCTGAGGAAGAAGAAGCAGGACTAGCCATTGTGAAGGGCCTGAGTGCGGAGACCCTGATGTGTGCAGGACCAGGAAGGGGTGGCCAGAGCCAAGAGTGAGGGCAGAGGCGATGAGGAAGGTGACGGGGAAGAGATGCAGGGTGTTGTGTGCCATAGGGAGAACTCGGGCTCTACTCTGCATGAGATGGGACCAGGAGAGAGACTCAGGTGCTCACAAGTGCATCGGGACAGGGGGAACAGAAAATAGCAGGGCTGAGGGGCAAGGAAAACTGCTGTACCCACGGGGAAGTGGGCGTGGAAGCAGTGGTCAGATTCTGGGCAATGGGCCCTGTGGGTGGGCAGTGTGGGTGTGCACAAGGCTTCTGCCCTGGAATTGTGCCCCCACATGAACTCAGACAACTCTGTCACACACACACACTCAGACTCTCATACTGACACACATTCAACACACACAGCCCTGCACTCACATTCTCTGTGTTTGGTGTGAGTGTAGGTGTCAGCACCTCAGGCAAACTGACCCATCATGTCTCGGGTGACGAGCCCCCACTAGCCTCAGAGCATGCTTCTGTCCTCTGTGTACTTGGTACCTGCTCAGAAAGGCCATGAGTGGGTGAGTGGGGGTGGCAGCTCACCTCTGCGACATGATCTTGAAGGCATCGGGCAGGTAGCACTGCACATTCTCCATCTGGAAGGGGTCAGCATCGCAGATCTTGTCGTCAGTGCGTCCGTAGTTGGCATTCTCCACCATGATGACGTCACTGCCCGGGCACCGCAGCTCAATGGGGTAACCCTCACATGCCAGTTCCCGCCGCATCAACCCGAATGGGAGCCCGGCCCGGCTCAGGCCTGTAGGGATGACAGGGAAGAAACCTCAGCTGCAGCTCAGGTGTCTGTTCGGAGCCTGTTTCTGGAGCAACAAAATGGGCTTCTAGTTGCCTGCCTGTGGTGCAGTGTGAGAATTTCACCTGACGCAGACTTCGAGTGTGGCGCTACAGATCAGCACTGGTCTGCAAACCACCAGTTTGGTAATTCAAATCCACCAGCTGCTCCTTGGGTCACTAGGAGTCGGGATCAACTAGACAGCACTTAACAACAACAACAAAGACGTGTTTGGCCTCGGCCCCAGAAGGAGATCCCCAAGCTCCTGAGTCACCCTGTCTAACAGGAGTCTGTTCGCAGCAGTGTGATTTAGGGTGGCTGTCTTGGGGCACACAGTTCAGTTCGACCTCTCAGGGGCTGAGATCAGGCATGTGGGTGGCTACCATGTGTCCATGTGCCAGAGCCCCACAACAGTCCTGCCCCACATCACTGACTCCAGGACCCTGTTCTGTTGCCCCTTCCGAGGCTGGTTTTCATCTGGGTCCTTCCCCCATCATAAATCCACCTCAAGTGTACTGGCTCTCAGTGAATTCCTTCAGAGGTTGAAAGAGCCTGAGGGTCTTGGGGACCCCGAAGCTAGCAGCACCTCCTGAAGGGAGGACAAAGGGAGGCAGCACATATTCCCACCAGAACGAGAAATTTCAGACCCACTCTGTCACTGCCCAGCTGACAGAAAGTGTATCCTTTAGACCCGGGGACGGGTCTAGGGGTTGCTTCAAGATGCAGATTCAGGGCCCCATCACAACCTGCTGAGTCAAAACCTGAGGGGTGAGGATAACGCACACTCAAGTTCAGTCAACCACTGTTTAACTTCCCTAGGTCTCAGTTTCCCAGTCTATTAAAGGGGCACCCAGGATTATACCACAAAAAGTCCACGTACTAGAAAATGTTCTAGAACCAGGTGCTGAGCATTAGCATCTGGGGAGCGCCCCACCCCCCCGCGTTGTCATGGAGATGAAGGAGCATGCCCGGGGGCAAGCCTAGCACCTGGGAGGTGTCATCACATGGCAGTCCCTACCCTGGGCCATGTGAGGTGAACAACCTGGCCTCAAATCTCCACTCATTCAAGTCACTGACAATTCCTAGGCCTCTGGCTCCTTTCCTAAGGTCAGGAATTTGGGGGTCCCAGGCAAGGTGGTCTGTGCAGGCTGTTGCCACCATTAACAAAGCAGCTCCGGCAGCCAGTGTGGGCAGACAGGGACACTCTACTGAAGCAGTGGCCTCCTGAAGGCACCAACTTGGGGACCATCCCTTAGAGCTGCAGGTGTGACTGCCTGAGGTGTCAGGAGGGCAGCAGGTAAGAGCGGACACTAAGCAAAGTGGCCCTTCTCGACTAGGCTGCCCTGGACATGGCAGCCGGGACATGGGGTTTCTTGGGGTGAGTCGAGTCCCAGCCGGCAAAAGTTGTGCCTATGCTTCTCTTAACACCATCTGCTTCCGGAAGCTAATTTTAGTCCCTTCCGAGCTGGGAGGGAGGGCCGGGGGTGGAGGGCTGGCTCAGACAGGTCTGGGGGTGGAGGCAGCCTCTCCCGGCCCAGCTGGAGCGGCAGGGCAAGACCCAGGTTGGCAGAGAACTTGAGGTGCTGGGGTGTCACTGGTTGGGCAGGGCAATGCCCTGGACTCTGCTGAGCAATGCTACCTCCACCTTCAGGCCCATGAGGGGGCGCTGGGGAGCAGGGCCACCACAGTTTGGATGGATCCCCAATGCCCTTTAGTAGGACGGGGTGGGTTGGTCAGAGTGAGGGGCACAGCCAGGAGGTCCTATCCCCGGCTTCTCGTCACACTCGAGCCGCCAGTTGCCATCAGAAGTATAATTGAATAATAAGGGTGGGTGGGTGGCAGCTTGGGGTGCTAATTGTGGCCTGTGCAGGATCCCGGGGCCGGCACAGGGCCGAGCTGGGTAATTAGTTGTTTTTAAATAAACGTCAGCGGGCACGCTTTAATTAAGCCTTCTTCCCGGCGAGAGCCTGGGAGATGTAATCACAGACACACACACACACACACACACACACACACACACACACACACACACAGACACATACACACATGGGACAGAAGCGTGTCAACTCACCAGGACAGCCTGTCCCAGTCCCAGGGGGCCACAGCCACACCTCTGGGACAGCCCTGGCACTCTGGCTGGGTGATTTGTTGGGGTGCAGGGTGATCCAGTAGGGGATTCTCAGAGGTGGTAACATGGAGTGAGATTCCCAACTTGTTCTCCGGCTGGCTCCCACACCCTGGGGCGGGGGCAGGCAGACTCCTTCCGAAGGCATTTCAGAGCAGGCTTAGGAGACAGGACACCCCCCCCCCCCAACTCCCCAAGTCTCTGCAGCACCTACCTTGGGTGGCCGACGTGACCAGGACGGCGGTGACGCAGAGGCTCCAGAGAACGGCGGCCAGGCGGGCCATGGCGACAGTAGCCAGAGACGTGTACGGAGCACTCAGTGGCCTGCTCCAGGGGCCTTGCCCCGCATCACTGAGCGGGCACCAACGCCTGGCCCACCAGCCTGGAGAAGGACAGGAGAGTGAGGCAGCATGCCACCAAAGCCAGGTGGCTAGCAGCACCCCCATATGGGCCCAGGACGCTGCCCTCTCCTTCTGGGAATGATGGATGCTGCCCACAGTTGTGGCGCCCAAACACCTCCCTCGGGCCAGCTGCATCTGACAGAAGCTACAGCTCTGGTGGGAGGCAGACCCTTCCCTGGCCTCTAACACTCACCTCCCTGCCTCCCAGAGTCCAACTCACTGCTTAGCACCCTGGATTTCCACTTTCCCCTGACAGGGTAGCTCAACAGAACATCACAGCTGTAGATGGCCCACCTGCCCCCATCACCAGAAGCCCCTCAATGCCTCTCCTCCACCCCTAATCCCCATCCCTGCCCACTTGGCACCCTCGCCAGTCAGGAGAAGAGTGGACCTGGGCCTGGGTGGGGACCCAGGTGTCCTTGCAGCCTCTGATCTTGGGCAGGAATCCAGGCGCCTGCCCCCAGCCCCTGCTGCTTCCTGTCTCTCCTGCTCGGTAGCTAATTAGAATCCGGCTGGCTGGCGCCATGGGTGGGGACCAGGGACGCCTGAGTCCCCTCTTTCCCCTCTGAGGGACCCTCAGGGTAAAGCTGGAGACAGGCAGGCGGGTGGGAGGGGGGTGCTGTCCCTTGGGGCCGGGAAGCTGGGAGAGAAGCTGGCAAAAACCGCCCCCACCACTTCTACCTGGGGAGTCAGCCACTCCTTTGACACTTTGGTTCAGGAGTCAAAGAGCTCTGCTCCCACCCAGATTCTTCCTCCCTGGCCACTGTCCCTCTCCACCTCTCCCGGCTACTTGATCTCCCCCTTACTCTCAAGAATGCCTCCCTGCCCTAGGCTTTTGGCTTTATTTAAGCACCATCCTCCAAGCTCTGGTGTGGCGCTTACAGAACAAGGTCAGTTTGAATTGTAAGGTCGGTGGTTCAAATCTACCAGCCGATCCTTGGAAACCCTATATAGGGTCGCTATGTCAGAAAAACACCCTTCAGAACACACCCTTCAAATGTGGTTCCCGCCCAGAGGCAGCAGTGTTGCAGAGAATTTGCTAGAAACTCACATTCTTTGAGGAGGCCCACCACCCAAGTTTAATTGGGTCCACTACTCTGCCATCCCCCACAGCAATCCCTGCCCCATGCAGTCAAGCACCCTCAATGAGCTAAAACATCTCAAATGTCTTCCCAGCCCAGAACCTCTCAAAAGAGCTCAGCCAACTGCAGCTCATGGTGACCCTTGGCATGTCTGGGTAAAGCTGTGTTTTCAATGGCTCATCTTTTAGAAATAGATCACCAGCCCATTCTTCCAAGGAAACTGGTGGGCTCGAACCTCCAATCTTTTGGTTCGCTGGCACCTGTGTTACCTGTTACACTACCCAAGGGCTCCAACAGCGCTCAAGCTACTGTTTTCCCAGCAACCCCTCCAAAGGGCTTGCAGCAGTCTTCAAGGCCTGATCATCCCTCTTAGTTCCCTGCCCCACTTCTGTTCCATCAAACTGCCTTTTGCTGTTCCTTGCCTACACCAGACCCTGCCCCAGGACCTTTGGACTTGTTACTTCCTCTAGGCTTTTGTTCAAATGTAACTGTTTTCAACAACTTTATTGAGATAGAATGCACATACCATACAATCTGCTCACTGAAAGTATACAAATTCAACGGCTTTGAGGACATTCAAAGATACAAACGCTCATCACCACAGTCAATTTCACAACATTTTCAGCATCTCGGTAAGAAATTCCATATTCTGATGCATTCCCCCCATCACCCCAAGGTCCTTCTCTGGGGGTTTGCCTACTCCTGATGTTTTATATAAATGGAGTGACTGATTTCCCTGAGCATGTATTTGAGGTTCACCCATGTTGTAATATGAATCAGTACTTCATTCCTTTCTATAGTGGAATAATGTCCCACTGCATGGCTGGCACAGGGACCTTAGGTGGTTGGTGCAAGTGGTTCATGCACTTATTGCTAATCAAAGGGTTAGTTCCATAGAGTATCTCAACAGAAAGGCCTGGAGACCTACTGCCTCAAAAATCAGCCCCTGAAAACCTATGAGAGAATTCTACTCGGAGACACATGGGGTGGTCTCCGTGAGTTGGGGGGGAGGGGGGTCGACTTGATGGAGACTTTGTTTTTTTAATAAATGGCTATTTTGTTTGTGTATCCATTGACAGACATCAAATGTAACAATATCTGATGTAACCACAAGGCAAAGACAGTGAGACTATTGGGTTCTCTGCTGCATCTTTAGTTTCTAGAACAGAGCTTGCAATACAGCAATGTGCACTTGTCAAATGACTCTCAGAGCCCAGACCTAGGAAGCCACCTGGATTCCATCAGTTAAGTCTTATGGGTTCTGCCTCTACAGCAGCCCACACTTGCCCACTTCTGGCCCCAGAACCACCTCCCACCACCATAATCTTTAGTTGGGTGGTGGTCTCCGCCTCTTCCTTCTCCTGGGGCCCCCTGACTCAACACCCGCTCCAATCTGCCCTCCACCCAGGGCTAAGGGGTCATTTAATGATGCAAGGCCTAGCAGAGCCTCCCCCTGGTCCCTCCAGCTCTGGCCCCACAAATTCTAATTCCTCCCCTGCTCTTCCCCCACCCCCAGCTAGGCTATTCCTTTTGCCAGACTCCCAGGATTGGACACTAACCCTAAAATCGAAGCAGTCTGCAGAGGCTTCTTGTTGCTCAAGGTCACCCCAGCGGAAACTTCCTGAGCACCCCTACTTGCTGCCACGTTGCTGGGGGACCTGCGTATGAAGTTATCTTATTATGCTGGCCTTCCCTACCAGATTGTAAGCTACGGGAGGACAGGGACTCGATCTAGGGCCAGCCCACAATAAAGAACTAAGAGGGGGATGCTGACCAGACAATACACCCTCCCACACACATCTGGAAAAATGGTACCTGCTATGCAGCCTCTGGCCCTTTCCCTGCCCCCTCCTGCAGCAAAAAGCCCTGGACCACTGCAGGTCACAGCCCTGACCCCAGGCTCTCCCCCAAAGACTTTCTCCCCACCCCCCAGGGAGTTACACAGGTCAGTGGCTCGGTGCCAGTATCTGGGGGCTGCCGGCCAGGTGTGTGTGGCTCCTGACTCCGACATTTATGTGCTGTGTGACCTTCAGCCAGCCCCTTCAGGCCCCCAGGTCATAGACCCTCAGCTGCAGCAAGTCCAAAGGTTCTGGTCAAGACAAGTGGGGCCACCACAGCACAGTGAGTGTCTGTCTGAGGGGATTCCTATCTTCCCAGGCAGAGACTCCAGCCTCTTCCCCCACCTCCTCTTGGAGATATCAACCAGATACTGCAAATGCACTCACTCCACAGCCTAGCCCTCTCCTGACCCCACCATTTACACCTCCATCTCCACGGCATCTTCAGCCTGATTGGACCAAACCCCTCCCCATCTCAGCCAGCAGCGCCCCCTAATACTCCAGGGTTCAGATTCCTGACTCCCCTGAACCTCACCACCATATTCAGGGTGAGAGTGAGTTGTGGGGGCCAAGACCTCCAGAACACTCCAACAGCTGGCCGTCCCAGCATCTCCATCTCTGATCCAGGGGTGCCAGGTCCCCACACGCTCACAGCCTTGGGGTGCACAGCCCCAGGATACAGTATGGGGTGGGTCTGCTCCCTAACCACTTGTACTTTTCTTCCATAAAACAGGTTACCATGTAGGTTTTTCAGTTCCGTGTATGAACCGAGAAAAATGAGACCATTTACATACCTTGTTTTTACATGCACGAAGCCAGAAATGTTAGACGAATCCTTATGAGTACAAATGGGAATTGCCCCCATCCCTCACTCACGGTCCCCACAATATCCCCACTGTCTCCACCCTCACTGTCCCTGTCCACACACCTACCCACTCCTTGATTCTCCTTCTCAGCTCCTAGGCTGGGGTGGGGCTTTACTGACCTTGGCCTCGGCACCTGGGCACCCAGGACAGTTCCTGGATGAGCACAGTGAATGCCCAGGGGGCTGGGCACCATGGCCTGTGGGGGTAGAGGGCTCCAAAGCCCCAGGTGCCCCAGGAACTGCCCTGCTTCGGGTTGGACTGGGGGAAGCTGGACACTCTGGCTCCTGTGGCCTTCTACCTGGGGCTGGCTCCACCCCACCCAGCCCAGGTGAGTTTAGCCTGCACACTCGGTACCACTGAGGCACAGGCAAGGTCAGATGTAGGGTGGAAGGCAAGGATCGAGACAAAGCCACACAACTCCAGGGGTGCAGACAGATCACAAACAGTGGGGTATAGACAAGATGTCCAGCACCACCCACCTCACCCCCGGGATCAACAACAGTTCCCCATTCACACAGCACAGGTAGCCCAGCTAACCCTCATAGTAACCCAGTTGGGGGAGGGGGGGCACTCTATGATCATCCTCAGCAGTACAAGACACGGGACCCGGGGCTTTGAACCCAGGCAGTCTGGCCCTCTGCACCATGCCTCGGTGATCTCCGGTGCAGGATATAGAACCAACTGCTTCACCCTGGGGGGGGGGGGGTTCTGCCCACCAGCCACGTCAGTCTCCATCGGGGTGGGAACAGAAGAGTGGGGCAGGAGCCCAGACTCTGTCCTCGGGTGCCCTAGGATGGGAAGGGGGTGGTGACAGGCGAACAGGCTGTCGGAGGAGTAGGGTGCCTCTAGCCTGCCCTCCAGTGCGGTTACCATAGCAACCCTCTGCTCGAGTGGGTGGGCGTCTGAATGCCTAGGGGTACTGAAAAGGGGGGCTCTGGGCCCCCCCCCAAGTCCCACTCTTTCCCAAAGGCAGCCGGCCCCACCGCCTCTGCGCCCCCTGGACATGTCTCCTTCCCCTGTTGTGAGCTGAATCATGTCCCCTCAAAATTTATGTTGAAAACCTAACCCTGGGTACTGTGAACCTTGTTTGGAAATAGGGTGTCTGAAGATGTTACCAGTTAACCTGAGGAGACATGGGAGTAGGGTGGATTTCCATTTTGTCTGACTGGTGTCCTTAAGAAAGCCAAGAAACAGG